ATTCAGTTATTTTAGGTCAGGCTTTCTATCCTGGATGGCTTTAGGAGAGCTAGGTAATAGATTATTTTTGTGCTAGTCCAGCACAAGACAAGAGTAGTTAGAACTTTCTCCTTATGTATACACACATATTCCCATTCCTCAATTTAGTACTGACAAGATGAGATAAGTCTGATGAGACACTAACCCTTGATGTTCTTCTCACATATATCACATATACACCTACAGTTTCCTAATAAATCCTGCTACAGAAGACTGGCATCTGGCAAGTGTCATTGTATGTAAAGCCACAAAAGGATAAAGCAGAATTTGCTTGTGGAACACCTGTTAACATGAACTACTGCAGTAAGAAGAGCAGCATGCTTTGAATACTCCAAGTTTACCTGTTCAGCAGCTCCGGGTTCCCTCTTCAAGATTGCTTCAGCTGCTTTGTTATTTTTATAGGTCATAGCACATGCAAAGGGAGTCATTCCTTGCCTGTCACGTACATTTAGCTTAATATCTGGATGTGAAATCATAAGCTGAATGATAACATTATGTTGGTTGCTAATGGCAACATGGATTGGAGTTCTTCCTTCTGCATCCTAGAAGGAAACCAGGAAGTTTGTTATATGAAGATTCATTAATACATGAATCCTTCCTTCATTCTGAAAAGTCAAGGCAACTTATTAGTTTAGTTCTGCAGCATACCCAGCTGCCTTCAGCTGGGACACCAAACCATTGCAGTGGGAGCTCAAATCCACAGTGTAAGTGAAACAAATTGGTATTTGTTTCTCCAAATAGGCTGACCTCAATCCTGTGCTATATAGCCCTTTAAGTAGCTCAGAGTAACGTTTCCCATGTAGTCAGACATTTTGGGGGCAGAGATGAGCATTCAAATTTAAGTCTAACAAATTCAAATACAGCGTTTAATCACTTGTCTGTATCAAGCAGCAGTTCACAGCCATGGCTGCTCTGTGACTGTGTTCTGTCATTCATTTTGATGTCACTTTCAATAGCATCAGGACTTAAAAAGGTTATACATTCATTTCTTTTGTTGCTATTTGTCAAGCTTCTGTTTAAGGATTACAGTGTAATCAGATATGAACTGTAACTCATACTTACATCACTTCAGTTTACTCAGTTAACAGAAGACACTTCCCAAACATACTAACAGAGTAGGGTATTCTGGAGTTTTACACTCTAGCAGATCTAATGATTAACTGCAGCAGAATACAGCCCTACTCCTGCCTTTAAGTCACACTAAGGACAGAAGAGTTGAATTCCAATCATTACATCAGAAAACTAACACTAAGAAGTTTCCTGTCTCATTTTTTTCCTTTAGTATAACTTCCTGAATTAACCCATCATATTGGCAGATAAATGCTAGATCTGGTAACAAGGGAAAGGAAAGAGTACAACTGCAGTCATTCATAACAGAAGGATTTTTTTTCCTACCAAGCAAAATACACAACTGAGAGGGAAGTTTTCATTACAGTAGAGGCAAAGAATCAACTTCAAAGAAACTGCAATTTCTCGACACACCTGAGCATTGACATTGGCACCAAACTCCAAAAGGCACTGGATCACCTCTTCTAGTCCCCAGCAGGCTGCCAAGTGTAGGGGTGTCTGTCCATCATGAGCCTCCTCTTCTCCTTCTCCATTTGGGCCTGGCTTTCTGGGACTGTTCACATCACAACCACTAAAACACAATACAGCCAGTTTATTACATTTAATCCAGATTTCAACTGTTCCAAACAAGGGTCAGAAAAGAGTTTACAAGAGCTGACCCAGCAACTGCTGATACATTCTACATAAGCACAAGTTTTTGGTTTTAGTTTGACTCTTGTCATCAAGAACACAATGTTAATATAGGTAACAGAATGTGTCTTTAAGACTTCCCTAAGTGCCACCCACCCACTCAAAGCATAATGAATCATATACCTGTTACTAGCTCAAAATAGCATTCAACTAATTTATGCCAGGAAAAAAGTGTACATGCACACTAGGTTTGTATTGTAGAAGGGAGTCTGACCTGCGAATAAGAAAGCATGCTATTTGTTCACTGTTTTCATCAATAGCTCTGTGAAGAAGAGTTTGTAAGCAGCCACTTGGTCCTGACCCCCAACAGGTTGAATCACAGCCATGCCTAACCTGGAAGGAGAAGCACAATGAGGCAGCGAAGTGTTTTGGTTGCTTGTTTTTTTTAATGTCTCCTACTACTTTACATGATCTTTGACTAATGCTTCTGAAACATTATTCCATAGAAGTAGAATTTGAGATGCCTTATCTATTCTTGTGACAGTCACTGAATTTCCAGAGGCCACTTTAGTCTCTTCCAAACCAATGTTTTATTGGTCTATACATAATACTTAATTAGGTAGTATTTACTAGCAATTCATATACTCTGAATAGACAAGTCTTAAGCCAGTTTGGGTCACAGTTCCCTCACTTTCACCAATAACAAGCAGCTAAAGTCAAGTAGCACCAGCAGACACTGCCTTTGAAGGTCTGGCCCATTTACTTGCTTTCCTATACATTCAGCTGATCAGAGATAGCAATACAGTTCCAGGAAAAAACTTAAATATTTGTATTTTTCTACTACAGAACTACTTACTTGAGCAATGTGGCACTTAAGACTTGTTCTGCTCCTCTTTACAAGCTATTTACAAGGTTTATACACGAGTAGTTTCAGTGCTGACCCCATGAAGATTCTTATTCAATACCAGCACAAATGGTCAAGTACAGTTACGAGATGTAATTCTCAGCTCATCGGCGTAGCTTTTAAGTAGTTGTCTCCAGCAGACAATAACTGGATATCAGAGACAAAGCTTTCAAGTGACTTCCTTATGAAGGAGAAGGAGGTCTACTTGCATCTCCTAAGAAGTCTCCTGCTGCATCACCTATGCCTGAAAGTAAAGGCTTATATCTATTACTAAGACTATTTAAAGGCCTTCTTCATGGAATTTTAAGATGCAACAAAAACCAGGACATATAAAACACACATATGGGTGTTTAGTTTTAATCGGGAAGCTGATCATTACACAAGTCTGGTATGCTACAGACTGATGTTTTTAGATGTCACTCTTTATGAGTAATCCAGACAGCATATTCTATACTTTTATTACAGTGGCTGAAAGATATTTGGCTATGCAGACTACAGCATTTACAAAAGATTTCCCAATGAAAAGGAACTTCTGGTGAAAAAAGCTCTAGAAGTTAAATAGTGGTATAGGACTACTCCGTTCTTTTCATGCATTGAGTTTAGTTTTGCTGATGAGCCCTTTGTAGCTAGCAAGATGCACAAAAGTGAGACTAAATTAAGTCAGCTGACAGTCTTACCAGAGTTGATGCAATGTCTTCCAGGTTATTTTCTAAGGCAAGCCACAAAGGAGGATTTCCTTTCTCATCTGGCACAGACATGTCGGCTCCCCTGGTACAAATAGCATCAACCACAAGAGGGAGCTGGTTTTTTATGGCCAGCTGTAAGGCAGTTTCTCCATCCTGTGTTCTGTAACAGGTACAGTTTGAAGTGTGTTACTACTACATTATAATGTTAGGCCTTGTGTTACAGTAGTTTATTTGCAAAGCCAGGAATTGTGTCCTCACGTGTGTATTTTTGCTGTGCTAAGACCATATCTCCACAGCCAGGCAAATGCACCCTATTAGTAAACTACATAGCTGTGATGAAAAACTACCAAAGCAGGGGCAGGGGTATAAGTGATTGATTCCTGAAGTTTGAAAAGAACGTTAGTGTTCTTAGCTCAGAGACACCATCGCTGCCTTAAGCGCAGCCATTGTTTGAACAGAGTTCCTTCAGAGCAAGCCGACTGCCACAGAAGCAAATAGCTTTGTCTGCACTGTGGTAAACTTCAAGCAACAGTCAGAAATAACAACTGTTAAAAACCTGAAGTTAGAACAGCAATATTAGGCAGTTTTTACCCACAACATTCATTATAGTACAGCTCACCAAATTTCAAAAGACAGCCTGTCAGTCATGTAAGCAGGTAAGTGTTTGTTCAGTCTAATATCAATTTGTTTAGGAGGATACTCAGGAGGCAAGTTCTACTGAAATCTTGTTGCTGGACCTACATCTAATTAGTTTAGATGGTAGAAAACATGGAGCTACGTCTAATTAAGAAAACATGCAGCTCCAACAAACTGGCAAATAGATGAGACTATATAAGTTCAGTACCATATGTCTAAGACTTGAGAGTGTTACAGAGGATTCTCTTCTACCCAGAATTAAGTGGCAGCTCCCTTTGCAGCCTCAAGAGGAGGTACTGACCACCGGAGCTATATGTAGGTCCAAGTTCACATCTGTAACCCCTCAGCTGTAACTAGTGCCATAAAAAGCACCAAATGCATAACTATGCACAAATCACGATTTCAAACCAATTTCAAGCCATTATACAAAGGCAGTCATCACTACCTGCTCCTAAATACATATCCAATTGAGTGCTGTATCAGTTAAGATCTTACCTGACATTTATATCTGCCTGATGTTCCAGCAAGAAGAGTGCACTCTTACTGTCTTGTCTCTGTATGGCCATATGTAGTAGAGTCTGTCCATCTGACATTGTATCATTGATGGACGCCCCAGATCCAAGCAGCTGAGCTGCTATTGTGTGCATGCCTAAAGAGTTACAGCTCATTAGTATTTACCTTCAGTTCTATAAAACAGACATACTGAAAATTAATAAATACAGCTTCAAGCTTTTAATTTTCAGTAATTACAGGAAGGGATGCACTGAATCAATGCTAGAGCCTATTAAAATGTACATACATGAGCTAAACCAACTGACAGCTCCACCCAGCCTGAATATTCATTTACAGACTCACTGAAGATTGATTACTGAGTCCTTTTCATTTTGCTCAAAGACTAAGATATGGTCTTGTATACAGCAGAGTTTTTCCATTAGTTCTGCCAACCTAAATTTAGTAGAGTTCTCCTTAACCATACCTAGCCTAATCCTTCCTATCACTTCAGGCTTTTGTCCAAACATTAACTTTGGTATTATATTCCTAAGCTATTCCCATGAGTATTACTGTATTAGTGTTTAGCTTAGTTCCCCCCTCCTTTATCTCAGAAGCAGATAAGAGGATAGGTAGGGAGAAAGCTACAGTTTTGTTTCCTTTCATTGGAGAGGAAAGTGAAAAACCTGGAGTGTAAAGATGTCTGTTACATATGGATGACATCTAGCACTCCTGTACAGAGCAACATCACTAAGCATTCTGCCTCATCTCTTAAGTCCACAGTATGAGTAGTCATCCCCCATACAGCTGCTGTTTCCAGCTCAGTGAGACCATAGTTAAATTGATTCAGCAGTGACCACACCTCTTTTTTGATGATGTCCTGATACTGTTGAAATGTCACTTGGTGCAAACAAAAAAAAATCTAGTTTTCCCCAAACCATTCCCCTCCACATTTCAGACAATAAGGCATCTGATGAATCAGTATTTCAAGTTTCATTCCCCTTAGTAACTACTCAAAGTAGCTCATCTTCCCTTTGTAAAGATCAGTATTACAGTATTAACCAGCAGCTAAAACAGAGCTAACCATGAAGAGACAATATGGTGATTGGATATGAAAACTACCAGAAAGTTCAGTGGAACAATTCCACAGAACTGCAAGTATAGTTGTGGGCAAGAAGCTCTGGGCTATCTGCTAGTGAATGAGAGAAGCTGTAGGGCTAGCAATCAGCAAATCAAATATGAACATTCAGTTTTAGAAGCTGAAGAATCATCTAAAGCTCTCCTTGACAGCTTCTCACTAGCAGCACAAGCCAGGACATGAGCATACACCTGCTATTTTGTCTTAAAAATCTTACATCATAGCTTCCATATCTTTGTAAATTCTCATCTTGTTTTGAAGGCACATACCTGTCCAAAGAGCCAATCCCAGCACAGTCTGGTCTCTCGAGTCCTTTAGACTAAAGTCAGGAATAATTTGCAAGTTGTTGGTAGCATGAAGAGCATTAGCTAGAGAAAAGTGTAAGGAATTAGAGTATTCTGGTACTTGACCTGCAGTTGCACATTGAAAGCTGCAGGAGTAGCAATGTCACATTTTGAAGTAGGCTGTTGCTTTAGCAGTCAGTTTGAGAGATCTGAGCAAGATACCTTCAGGTTCCCAAATGCGATGCTGCTTAGGATTCGGGTAGCATTACCACTACTGCCTACTCTTAATACTTAAACACATTCAACTTTTTGGCTAAAAAGAGGCTTAACCTGCTCCCTACTACCTCCATGTCCAAATAGAGTGGCCTATATAAAGCTCTGAGAACAAGGAGTGGAGGCTGTACTGCAAGACAGTGGCAGCTTCCCTCCTTCTCAGCTCCCTGGGATGGAGGATATTCTCCCCAATTCACCTACTCTCTCTAAATGCTACTTATGGCAGGAGACAAAATAGGCCTTGCTTCACCTATTGAACTCCCTTCCTGCTCCTAGAAAGAAGCTGAACTAGTAGCATTTAATAAACCGTCATCTGCTAGTATTTCAGCACTCAAGTCTCAACTCTGCTACAATACTAGCATTACTCTGTACAAAATCTTCTTACTGAAGGAGATGAGGGAGGCAGAAGTCTCACCACAGAAAGATGCCTTTACCCATATTTGATTCCAGCATTTACCTGAACTAAATGCTTTGACAGGGAGAGAAAAAGGATTTGTTGTACAGCTAGAAAACAACCTGGGGCTAAGCGTTCAAGTCCATTATCTACAGTGGAGATTTTAGAAAGATTTATGGCCAAATTAGTTTTCTAGTCTTAACAAGCAGATGATTTGAGTTTAAGACCATGTTCAGCCAGTCATACTAATTACTCTACTTCAGTGTTTAAAGGAACACATGCTTTATTAGTAGTTTGTCAAAATACATTTTAGATGCCATCTTGACACACTGATCCACTACAGCATCAATACAGCCTAAACCAGAAAAAGCTTACCTTTTTGTTCCAGGATGACTGACACCACATCTGGGTGATTGTAAGCAATAGCCATGTGAAGGGGAGTTTGCAGATAAACATTCTCTGCTGTTGGAGAAGACATATCCTTCTGACCCAGCACTGCTTCTGCTGTCTGGATGTTTGGGTTGGCTCCTTGTTGCAGAAGTTCTGCTGTCAGGTTTGCTAGGCCATGCCTACAGGCTGTATGCAGTGGTGTTTCTCCCTTTAGTAAACAGAATACTGAGTTAACAGCTTGAGACATGAAACCCAGACAAGAAGTAGCTTTTAAACTGCTATACCCACAATTGGTCTGAAGAGCTTATGTTCTAGTAGTTGAAGCTCCTTAGAACTTTCAAGCTATGTGAGTTAGGCTATATTAAAGGCTTACTACACAGGCACTGAGGGAAGTGTTAAAAGCATATTAACAACTGGCGATGCTTTAAGAACAGTGCCATGAGAATGCAACAGTTGTCTGATCACTAGTAAGTATCTGAAGCATGCAAAAGGCTCAGCAGGTGTCCAAACTTGCTTTAAGCTATGGTTAGCAACAAGAGATCTCAGCTATCTTATTTCTGAAATAAGGAAACTTTCAGACTATAGTCTATAAGCTTCTGCTTTTACCCATTTGTTTTGGTGGTTGACTTTTGCTCCATGAGTTGCTAGGAAGAGAGAAGCTGCCTCATTTCCTGCACCAGCTGCCCTCTGAAGCAAGCAGTTTCCTAAAGAAAAGCCAAGAACACTGTTAGAGTGCTATTGCAACCACACTTTGATACTAATAAGTGTGCTAGCACCTTCCCCACTACCTTACAGCATTAAAACTTGAAACCAACAAGGAAAGTTCTACCTACTAGTTGCCTTGTTGCAATGCTGGACTGTCACATGCACTACCACTTAGCAATTACACGTTCCAAAACTGTAAAGGGGATGTTAGGACCTGGCAAAGACTCCAGACTTTCTGTCACTTCCTGCAAGTCAGGCTCAGCATGGGACCCATCAGTGTTCCAACTCTGGGCAAAGCTACCACCACCTACCATTTGTTATGCAGCAAATACTGTTGATACCTCATTCAGCTCCTCAGTGCAATTAGCATTAAGCAATTAACTTACAAGCCTTCCACCTACACAGAAATGCAAACCTCTATTTTACCTGTTACTGTGTCTGGAGCATCTGTATTGCTGCCTCGTTGGATCAACCTTGCTGCAAAACTGTTCTCATCAAATGAGGTTCCATTTACAACAGGTGCATCCTCAAAAGGGTTTACAGACTGATCAGACGATACAGTGATATACTGAACTGCAAGCCACAAAGCTGTGCTTCCTTCATGATCCTTCAGCTCCAAGTCTAGTCTGAAAATAAGAGTTAGTGTTCCCCAATTTATATCTTAAACAGTGGTTCCCCCATGCAGCTTGAAATTTCAAGTGTCTGAACAGCTCTACTAGTTTACCTAACACCTCACTGACAACTTTTGCTTGCCAAGATGACTACTATAGTGCCAGTTATTTCAGAGAATTTGTGAATACTCTGAAGCAAGACATCTTTTAGTGACTACTGGATTTAAGCTTGTTGCTCCTAGAAGCATGGCCCTGGTAGATTTAGGCTCCCACTAAGTATAATAGAGAGGCAAATACTCTGGTATTTGAATAGATTGTACCCAAGAACTGCAAATTCAACTACAGAGAAACCAAGTCAAATGAAATATTCTGCTTCATCACCCTAAGAAGCCACCTGTATTAGCTTTAAGCAGAACCCACATTGAGCTCAAGAATGTATTCAGACATTTTAAGACTCTTATTACTCCTTTTAGCAGCACTACAAATGAAGTTATTGCTACATTATTTCTCCTAGCCCTCTTTAAAAATTGCTGAGATGCACTTTGCTTTCTCTTTACAGTAGGGCAAAAACTTACTTGGCTTCTGGCATTGTTCTGGCATCTTAAGTTATTACTTTTGCATCCCAAGCCTACTGCTAGCCTTATAATAAGACAAAAAGGCATAGAAGAGTCATTAAACCAGTTTTCATATCTTCACTGTACAGGGTAACCTCAGTGTATTTTACATTTAAGTGAGACTTACTTTTTGCACTGGAGAAGCTGACTGAATACAGGTTCATTCCTGACCACAATTGACACATGTAGCGGTGTCCTGCAATTGGAGCAAAGTACAGTTACATTAATAATACACAAAATGCTTAAGATTTTGTCCATTGTCACCAACATGCCCCTACACATTTATGGGGTTAACTTTGGTGTCTGCTTTCAGAACAGTACAAGCACATCTTGGGGGGGGGGGGGGGGGAACAATCTACACTTTTAGTGGACATGATTCTAATTTAGTAGTAAGCAACTCTAAATTTAGACTAATGTAAGAGCTAATCTTCAAGGAAAAAGCACGAGAACTTGACCTTTTAGAACTGAGTAGTTGATATACTCCAAGTCTTCTATATCACTTTATGTACTTGTTTGCCAGCCCAAATTAACCTGTAAAGCAGTTTACAGGCCCTACACTCCAGATAAACACACTGCAGATACTGACTTTTTCAGATAATTTCAGTTTCAGTGACAGCTTCAGAGAGAAGTACCTTTCAGGAATACTATTGTCACCTTAGTTCACTTGCTTTACTGTTCAGTGATTCCATAAAGGTAAATTAATTGTGTGACGTGTTCCAACACAATTATCTCACCCCAGCTTTCTATAGCTGGGCTATGTTTAATTAGTCATGACAGAGTACCGTTCAGCCTGCACAGCTTTCTGCTTTGAGTGCTATCCACAGGTCTCAAGCTGGATTAATGAATTCACCTTTCCTGCTTCCACCAGTATCACCTGTGCTTTGCTGACAGACCTGAGCAGATTATTAGTGGGCTGCATCTAATCACTACAGTATTATCTGTTACACCAGCAGCAGACTTCACCTCACCCAGTATTTACCTTCCTTTGCTGTCCTGCATATTTGGATTGGCTCCTGCCTGTAAGAGGGACTCTGCTATCTGTGCCATCTCTGCCATGACATCTGGCAAATACTTCTTGGGACTGTATGATGCCACGAGGTGCAGAGGAGTCTCCTGGTCTCCCAGTGTAGCAGCATTCACACGGGCACCATTTTTAATGAGAAAGTTTGCAGCAAATTTATCTCCTTTTGTGAAACAAAATAAGGTTATTTATGACATGCTGGAACCCTATATACCTTATACAAGTCCAGAAAATGGATACACATGATCTCCCTCTATACCATACAACCATTCCAATACAAGCATCTGCTTTTAGAATACCTTAGCAATAGGTAACTTCAAGAACACTTCACTGCAAGGTCAGGATCAAAATATTTTATAACCACCCATTGGAAAAAGCATCACAAGTAACCTCTGGGCAAAACAAGTTCACACACTAGTTTGTTATGGCAATACTGAGTTTGTGAGTTCCTCTATCAAGATAGATCCAATGTTGCTTTAATGTGTAATTGGACACGTTTGAGACTAAACATACAAGTAGTTTTTGAATAAAAGGTTCATCAGGGCATCAGTCAAAAGTACATAGCTGAAGTTAGTCATCATCTGCTCAGTATTGCTACATTAACAAGCAATAACACAGCCTTTGCTCTTGACAGCTTAGGCCCCATGACATGTAGGGTAAGGGTCTCAACAGTTAGGACCCACCACGCACGGCATTCC